GGTACAGCCTGTCCTGGATTTACGCGCTTCCCTCGGGCTCTTCCCGGTCGTGTCTCTGACCCACCGAGCCCCCGGGTGGCAGCCCTTGCCTGGGGTGAGGGCACAGCCTCACAGCCGCCGGGAAGCAGCCTGAGCAGCCGGCGAAGGGACTGAAGGGCCGTGGGGCGGGCTGCGCTGAGCCCTGGGGCTGCTTGAGGCGCTTAACCCAGCTCCTCTTTCCCGTCAGCCAGCAGGTACCCGGGCCGTGCTGGCACCGGAGCAGCGAGGAGTATCTCAGCAGTTACCACACGTGCTGTGCGGAGTTGGGGTTTAAAAGAGCCAAAGGGCAAGCCAAGACTGGGTGCAGTGTGGAACTGGAAATGTCGCTGTTGAGGAAAAAAAGCCAAACACCAAACATAATCAACGAGGTGGGAGGTGGCAGTGATTTAATGCGACATAGCTGCCAGTTTACCTTGGGCAACGACCTAGGAAAATATGACAGTAATAAAAGACTAGAGAGCAAATGGCCCTCTTGGTTTGTATTGTCCCTTGCTAGTGGAGTAACAGCACTGACCATGTTCCAGGGGGGTAAAGAAAGACCATTCCAAATGCCAGCCTGGCCTGCCTCGGCCCAGCCTCAGCCTCGCCGGCTGCAGGGTGTCTGCAGGGAGGTTGGGTTACCCGCCTGAATAGCCCTTGCCAGGGCAGGAGGCAGGATCCTGACTAAACAACTATTAACCTTCTTCCCACCGTCCCTTACAGAATTCAAAGACAGACCCTTAGTTTAGAGTTGGTTCTAGATTTTTTTTAATTTATTTTTTTTTTCCTGGGTAAAACACAAGCCTCTCCGTGGATTTTGATTGCTGTGGAAATCTGATGTGAATTAGAGGTGACTGTATGCAGATGATCTCTGCCTTTCACACACCTGCATATGGCTTTGTCTACTGTATGATAGTAAATCATAGCATTTGCACAGCATTTATTTCCTGAGATTTAATATAATCTGGGGCTTGACAGGACTCTAATTCCCAAAAATTGCGTGAGACATTTGGAAGAGTTGTCATTGCAGATTTTATTGTTTTAAATCTGCACTTTCTTCCTCAGAACTGTCCACAGAAATGTCCTGAAACATATTTGCTTCTACACACCCCTGGGAAGCTGTGGATAACCCACTCCCTCTGCTAGGCATGTTGGACAACCTTGCTTCTTCCTGCTGGATTTTACAACTGCAGACAAGGCTTGAAAACAAAACAAAAAAAACTCACCAGCAACACCAGCAGCCCTGCTCTAAACATGTGGGATGCTTCCCTGGGTCCTTGCTCATTTCCTGGAGTGAAAATCAGCCACACCAGTTCAGTGCTGCCCTGAAGTGTGTGGAAGCTTTTTTTTCCCCTCTCCTTCTTTTCTTTTCCCTCCTTCCTTGTGTTGATTTGTGGGGCCAGAATGACTTTGATTTCAGCAAGTTTGCTGTTTATTCACGTCACAAGTTTGACAGCTTTACACCAAATCAGATTGCTGGGTTTCAGGAGAGCTCTGAGGCGTCACTGGGAGCTCCTTTAGATTAAACTCGCCTCCCCCGTCTCCCCCCTCTCCCCCTCCTTCAGAGCCATTTAAACCTCGCTGGGGTTTTAATAGAAACGTACTCCCAAGACCTGAATTTCATTCTGCCACTAACATGGTAAGTGCTTTTTGCATTTCTCTCGACCTGGAGGCAGAAAAGGAGAAGCTGGTCTCCCTGCCCTGGAGGCTTGCAGTAGGTTTTGTGCCCTCTTTAAGATGGGGAAGGAAGAGGGCTCAGCTCTACCTGCCAGAGCAGTCTCTGCTGCTGCCTTCCCATGGGCGAGCAAATTCCCTGCTTGAGGCTCCAAGCTCTACCATCCCCTTGCAAAGATTTGTAGCTGCTGCAGATGGGGTTTATTTGAAGGAGGGAAAAGGGGTGAATCCAGAGACAGCCCCAGGCTTTGCTACTGTGCGGTCTGGGACTCCTGCAGAACTGCAGGGGCAGAAGAGAGCGCGGGCAGCCTGGAGGTGACTGCTGGCTTTGTGCAGCTTTAGAGCTGGATCAAGCCCCCGAGGTGAGGGGGACGGACTGGCCGAGCACAGCCTGGGTCCTCCCTTCACCTTAAACCCGTTCGGGACCTTAGTAATTCCCAAGGGACTGCAGGAAACTCAGCCACCTTCCCGGCATAGCTCTGCTCGGAGCCCCTGTGCTCCAGGGGCTGCGGCGGGCGGCGCTGCCCGGCGCCGGTAGCGGGGCCGTGCGGTGCCACCGGGCGGGGTGCGGGGCAGCCGG